CTACAAGAAAGGTCGTATAGAATTTTTCCGTAAGTCCAACGGTTTAGGAGTAATTGAAGAGAAACGAAATTTTTTGTCAAAAGTTCGCTATTTCGACGCTGGGATGGTCGGATTTTATGAGTACCCATAAAATGCCAATTAATCATGCTTAACTTGTTACATACTCAAGTTAGAAGAAAAATACGACAAGAGAGAAAAAAAAAGCTGCACTTTGATCTCGTAAATAACCCAGAAAAAAAGTGATAAACTCTCGAAAAAAAGGTCATGTCGAATCGCCAGTGTTTTATGAACAAATTCCTAGGAAAATAATCATCATTCATGAACTTTAAAGAAGTGTTTTTACAAATTAACAATTTGCGAACGAACGCAAATGTCACGAGTTACAATGAAAAACATATGCATTCGCGGTAGAACATCTCTTAATCTGCGAGATGAATTTAGAATGAAGTCAGTCGAGGGAAGAGTACGACGCGTACAGCTTCGTCGAACGAGAGACGAGTACCAGATCGAACTAGCGCCGTGGAATTGCGTGATTTGAAACTAAATAATACGTAGATAAAATACTATACATATAGTTCGCACGCTTATACGCGTTAACATGATCGTCAAGATTCGTGTTCAGATTGCGCTACAATTAAATCGAGAACGAGTCACGCTCGCGTATACCTTTCATTGACAACGGTGTTCTTTCTCTTCCGCGTTTCTTCCCTTGTAGGGGTAAAGATCGTCATGGATCGAGGACTTTCCCTACTGTCAAGAAAGTTTCGTCGATGCTCTCTTATACAGGGTGTTTATTTTATATTGAACGACGATTCGATTCGCGATCGTCGCAAGGTTCGCCACTCGTCACGAGAGTGTTGGCCATCGCGGGAGGAACAATAAAAGATGGCAACATCGCGGTTTTATTACGAACTCTCATATCTTCCCGTCGGTCAATGTTCGATATGACGTGCACGTTCACGGAAGCGTGATCTTCGCCGTGAGCACTCCGGGAGATTAAGTTTGAAATATTTATGGCGCGTCGCTCTCAGAGACCTCGGTATCCTCGAAGAGGATCCGTTTAAATTATGCCATCTGAGCCGAGCGTTTCGTAGATAGGAGCAGGGATGGGATAATTTTTCTCGCACGGCTCGCTTCCCCTGTTTTTCGCCCGTATTTCGATCCCCACTACTATTCTCCTCACGTGCCTTCGCGAAGCGAACCCATCAAGTACCAGTCCCCACTATGGTCGCGTCATCCCCACTTTCCGACCGAGGGAAAAATTATCCCATCCCTGGATAGGAATAGCCCAAATGATAGATGGCGTGAAGAATTTTTGGTACTTGTACGTTTCAGCTGCGTCGTACCGTGGACCCGGAGAGGACGAGGACAAGGACTCGTACGCGGCTAGAATCGCGTTCACGGGGAACTCGCGAATCCTCGGACCAATCTGTATAGTCGTGGGCGCCTTGATGCTCGCCCTCGGCGTGTTCCTCTGCATGCTCACTAGAAGAGCGAGAAGAAGGGAACGCAGGGTCGGCTTCCATTGCCCGCTTCATGGGGACTTCTACCCGCAGAGTCCTGTGCAGGGTGCCAAGAAGCTCGGTAAGTCGCAATCCTTTCTCTATGCCCGTCCCGTTTCGTAGCTGCGATCGAACGACGGTCCATTTTCTGCCTAGAGAAATTAAACGCGCGTTCTCGCTAATTCGTTTGGACGTCGAATTATCGCACACGCGTTGGATAACATGGCGGTCGGTCAACGAGAGATAACTCACGTACGACGAGAATTTACATGATCATCAAAAATGAAAGCCTATTCNATATAATATATGGGTCATAAATAAATTGTTTTTAATGATTTTATAAGTGTCAGTAGTAACTGGCACATCCGCTGTAGTACCCGCATCTACCCTATGCGATGATCAACGAAAGCTGGTTAGACGTTCTCATTCCTCGAAGACGTTTCACAGTTTTCTAACGCGATGAAAAAGGGATCGGTCCGACCCATCTCGGGAAGCCTGTCGGAAACATTGGTTCGTCGCGACATGTTCCAGTTCGTGTCAATCGCTCTGAATTCGGAACGAGACTGGATCAGGGTCAGGGTAGCTAACTGGATCGTCGGAATTCAGGCTAATACGAGTCCATCGAATTGTTCTCGTCGGTCGGCCGGACGCGTTCCATGCGATCCCGTGGTGTCTTCATTGTTTCAATTCGATCCGCGTTTAATTTTTGACGGAGATCTGCATCATGTCGATCCGTGGCCAGTCGCTCTCGAACGAAATCGATGGATCGTCGGGAGATGAAATCGTATCGTGAAACGGATCGATGTCTGAAATGAAAGTCTGCCAAGAGTAGGCGAGATCTTTTGATCGTGTCAGGGGCACGAGGACTGCGCTTGAGTCACTGCAGGTCTTCCGTTTCGCGGATCAGCGGCGATCGTGCCAATTCGAGATGAACGTGGGACGAAAAAAGCTTCCTTTGAGCGAACCTATCAGGTCATCGATGTCTCCGCGCCATTTCATTCTCGCGTGCCCTGGGCGTAGGTAATTGGTCGCACCGAGTAAGTTCGATTCAATCCACGAATACGAACTTTGGTCGTGGATATGTCCGCAAATTTCCAATTCTATATGTCGAATGCACCAGTTTCAATTATGGACCAGATATCGAGAATCCGTTCGACGATGCAAGCCGGGTAATTCGAGTACCACGTATCGATGTCAGGGGCGGATTAAGCGGTAAGCGGACTAAACGACCACGTGGTGCCCCGGAGGCCTAAAAATATCTTCACTTAAAGATTTTAGAAATGACCGAAAAGGATCCGATCTTGTCCTGAAACGCGTAGCACGGAAGACGAAAGGGATGCGACCAACGAGCGAGTGTTTTATCGATCGACGATGTGACGACGGAACGCGAATAACGAGGCTTTGGATCGCGTTAGGACGGATTCGTTGATCCGTTGCCCGGCTTCGAGCGTAACGAGGCTTCTCTTCAAAACACGTCTCTGCGCTTCCAGGACAGGACGTAAATGCATAATACCTTGTTGAGAAGTCTTACGATCGGAACGTGCGGAACATGGGAAAACTCCGAGAACATAATTTTTGATATGTTTACGATTTTAAAATTCGCTCTGTTTTAATATGAAGCCTGATTGGTTAGAAATCCGAAATGGCCGACGAGTGGAAGCGTCCGTGATTAGTTGTTCAAATGGATGCGCAAAAACATGTTTTTACATCATGACAAAATGAATATTTTTCTTATAAAGTAATCCTTGAGCATTAATTAAA